AGGTTCCGGTGTTAAAAATAAATAATAATTACTGTATTTGAATTCAATCTTTTTGAAGATAAAGTCAGGAATGTGTTAGGATGTGAACGTAGCCAATAATCATACTGTTTACTTTTGAACGATTGTGAATATCTCGACTTCTTTCATGCCCTTCATTTCAGGTTCCCCTCCGTGATCCGGCCGAGGTTTGGCAAGCTAAAGTTAATTACTATACTTCATGGTTACGTAACTTTGACGACACGTTCAATTATGATGTGCGCAAAGGAGCAGGACTTGTGCAAGAAGCTGCTGTAGAGGCAAACTTTGGAGGGAGTCAGCATGGTCAGCTTACATCAGAACTCGAGGATAAGCCGAATGATGGACCAAATGAGCAGGAGAACAAGAATTATGGATCAAATGAGCAAGAGAACAAGGTTGAAATGACTGCTGTCAAACATCAAGACGAGAAAAAATGTCCCAACAGCTCAGGCGATGGTGAAAATAGGGCAACGGAAATGCGAGTGGTAAATGATGGTCTAGTTGATGACATGGCGTCGTCGTCAATGTCGGCGTCAGAAGAAGAACACGCTATCTCGACTTCCGAACAAGAGTGCGCTATCGGAGATGGGACAGCAACTGAGGCCGAACTGTCCGAAGAGGAAACCGGTTCGGATGATGAAGACTCGTTTGATGAAGAGGAGGAGCAACTCAGGCAATTTGCTGAAGCATATAGAAAGAACGTAGATTTTCAGATAGTTTTTTCCTCATATCTGTGGATGCTCAGAAGAAGATATCACTAAAACTTACAGATTTTACTAATTTTATTTCAAACTTTGTTTTGATGAAGTGTATCTTTTATATATAACTTTCATGTTGCAGTTTTTAATTGCTATGTTGTTTAATAATCCGGATGGAAACGTTACGGTAACAATCACGGGTGCTTTTCCTGTGGCTTTTTTCACACAGATTGTTTGAAATGAAGCTTAATATCGTAACCTTCTTGTTTGTTCAACGAACGAAGTTTCCAAACTTCCTCGTATCTGAATTAAGGAAAATTGTTGTGTGGAATTTGTTCATCACAATTATTACTCGAACAGCTAAGCTACCGTTTCAGCCATGTCGAAAAAAGGAGGAGCTAAGAAGGGGAAGGTTGCGGCTGCAGGTGAGGCATGATCTTGAACTGTGACTTAAGACGTAAGGGATTCCTAGGCTCGGGACACGCCTTCCTAGGGCTGAAGATGACGATTTGTCTATTTCTCACATGTATTCATCGATTGAATGCTTCCCCATCTTTGTCCTTTCAGAAGAGGATCTTGATGCCATTTTGGCTGAGCTTGCCGTCGAAGACAAGGCACGTGCAGAAAAAGCGGGAGCAAAAAAGGGCAAAGGAGGGAAGAAAGGTTCGTTTCATGTCCATATGTTTTATTTTTTTATTTACATTTTTTTAACTTTGATAGTATTGTGTGTATGTTTGAGCTTTACGTTGTGATTGTTCCTGCTCTGCTCTGTCTTCCGCATATCTTTATTAGTTTATTAGACTGTTTCATTCTGTTTGTCACGTATCCATTTCTCAAGCTTCTTCAGCTAGGATTACGCTACAATCGAGCGTTACTGCGCATATTTCCTCCATTGCTTCCTTGATGGAGAAAACAACCACAAATCGATAGTATAGTGTACACTAACAAGCTGTATTTTGTCTTCCACTGCTCATAAATTGCCTTAATGAATTCGTGAGCGGTCTGATGGTGTCATGGGTGGCGTAATGAAAAGCACCGAAACACATGAAAATGTGCCTTGGTGCTTTTCGCTTTTCACATATTCTTGAGTAGCTAATAAGTAGCCATTTACGATTTGTTAATTCAAAAATTGTAACTGTAACTGTGAATTTCTGAAATTAACTAAAAGCTGTGACTGAAATTTGAAACTGTCGTAATTCAGATATGAAAAACATTCTTGGGCTCTTCGAAAATAACTTAAGCGCAGGTTTACCTTGTCAGAACCCATACTCGTATCACATTACCCATTTCAATATTTTTCGCATATTCCTACGTCATCAATCAGTTAACTGATTTTTGAATGCTTCAGTCAAAAATGCTGCGGTCATGAATGGTGGTGGTGATACGCTACCCGATGCAGTAGAAGAAGCTCCAGTAGTTGACTGGCATAAAGAAATCGCCGCCATGAAACCTATCGATGAGCAGTTCCCTGATGGGAAATACCCAGTGGGACAATGCGAAACATATTATCTGCCAGGTAAACATTTCACGATAAGTTTGCGGTAATTTAACGAATGTGGATATGTGATTCAAGATTTAGTGGTGCCTAGACCTTTGAACAGAGATATGTTTAAGGTAAGGACGGTAGAATTGCGTCAGACAGAGAAACGAATCAGGAGAAGAAAGCTCTTGATGAATCTTTCGAAGAAATGTATCAGGTATACATGCAATTTGGTGGCCTATAGAGACTTGTTTAGTGGGTGTCCTTTTAGGATTATCGGCGGTCTGCTGAAGCTCATCGTCAGGTTCGAAACTATGTGAAATCATGGGTGAAACCTGGAATGACTATGATTGAAATATGGTGAGTGTATCCGATAACATAATCGCATGTTTACCGAGTTACTTCATATACAACATTCGTAGCCGTTTTCGGGGGTTGATACAGAATCCAGTTTATAACAGTAGATCTTTTGCGGTCGCTGTGACAGCTGCTATTATTTGTATAATTTTAGTGAGCGCCTAGAAGCCTGCTCTCGTCATCTAATCAAGGAAAATGGGCTGGAAGCCGGTCTTGCCTTCCCGACTGGTTGTTCGTTGAACCATGTTGCCGCTCATTATACTCCAAATAACGGGGATACTACTGTTTTGCAATATGGAGATGTTTGTAAGGTAGGTGAGCATATCGGAGAACGCCACCTGTAGGTATTGTCACTAGTGATACAGAAAATACTTTATTATTGTTCGTTTCTTCAGATCGATTACGGTGTTCATGTACGTGGACGTCTTATTGACAGTGCATTCACTCTTCATTTTGACCCGCGATACGATAATTTGGTGAATGCGGTCAAGGAGGCAACAAATGCCGGAATACGTGAAGCTGGCATAGACGTGAGATTATGCGATCTGGGAGAGACTATTGAAGAGGTTGGTTTATGTTTTGTGTTTAGATGTTATTGTATTCATTTTCCGATTTGGCTCTGGTGTTCAGTTCATTGCCCAATGCAGTATTAGTTTTTTAAGCTTGTTTTTGGAGTCAAATCCGTACTAGTATTCAAAATTACTCCCTAGTGATGCTTTATCTATTTGCAAGACTTCGTCGGGAAAAAAGCCGGCAAAATTAATGGACCTATCTTTATTTGCTGCTTTTTTTTTCTAACTTTAGACTTTAAGGTGATGACGTCGCATGAGGTAGAACTAGACGGGCGTACTTACACTGTGAAACCCATCCGGAATCTGAACGGTCATTCGATTGGAAACTATCGGTTAGTTGATGATCAACACTACCCAAATTTTGACATAGTTAGCGATAAATCAACGTTGGAAATTCTTTTAACCGGCTTTTTATTTGTTTTAGAATCCACGCTGGAAAAACGGTACCAATTGTAAAAGGTGGCGATCAAACCAAAATGGAAGAAAATGAGGTATGTTTGTTCATTGATCAGGTTTCGATAACTTTGCTGCTGATGTTTGGCTATGTGATTTGCTTACCGGATTTCACGCCCATTAGAATTTTTCTTCTGCTGGTTGATACAAACGTTTTTAAACGTTTTTGTTGGCTTCTTCATGAAATCGATGCGACACAGTTTTTTTTNTTTTTTTTGTCCCTTTCATTCTACTTTCACCACCACTTCATTGATCATGTTGCAGCTCCCTTCTTTTGTGATCAGGTCGAGGTTTTATATACAGGTCTATGCAATCGAGACATTTGGGTCGACTGGTAAGGGATATGTCCATGATGATATGGAGTGTTCACATTACATGAAGAACTTCGAGCTGTCGGAAGAGCATATTCCGCTAAGGTAATCATCAGCTTACTGGTAATGATCTATAGAACGCTCACATTTTTTTCTTTCTAGACTTGCTCGTTCGAAAGCTCTTCTCAACACAATTGATCGTAACTTTGGAACTTTGGCGTTCTGCCGGCGGTGGGTAGACAGATTGGGAGAAAATAAGTACCTCATGGCTTTGAAGGATTTGTGTGACAAGGTAAGCCTACAGTTGCTTGATTTAGAGTTGCAAATTCATCGTGCATCTATGAATTTTCGTAGCTACGTGAGACTTTTGAAATAGATGGTTTTGGTTGAATAAGTGAATGAATTTAAGTAGTCGGTCATAGCTCAATACACTGGGCATTCTTTTTTTGCATCTGTATGGGTAGGTTGTCCAACCCGAACGGGCGAGCATCAGCTTTCCCTTGATAGGCGTTCCTCGATTTTTTAGACTCAAGGTGCTAAATTTTGGCAGTTCTTGCGACCAACTCCAATTTTTTCTATGCTACCTTGATTATTGTTTGATCTCCGATCACATTCTGCAACTACCTTTCAATGGCTTTGACTGTGGTGGATGATTAGACGTTATTCTCCAAAAATCCTCTAATCAACTGGGGGTTTTCGCTGCGCATGCTTCAAATATTGATCAGCTTTGAGGGATCGACATCGTAATATGAAGTTAACACAATTTAATTTTGATCGTTATTTTGCTGTCATACTTTTGAATGATTGTGATTTTAGCTGGATGCTTATCGAATTAATGAGTGATGGACAGTTTATCCTTCTATGCTATTTCAGGGCATTGTTGACCCTTACCCACCACTTTGCGATGTGAAAGGCTGCTATACAGCTCAATGGGAACATACCTTGGTGTTGCGTCCCACATGCAAAGAAGTTCTGTCAAGAGGAGACGACTATTAAACGAAGTTCATCGTATGCGTTTTCTCCGTCATTTTATCTTCCCACGACTTTGGTATTTCCTCCCATTGCTTTTTGATATGCTGTTTGGCAGCTCAGTCTCGCCTCATCTTGTTGAAACCCTCCCTTTTCCTAGAACGAACACTCCTCCTTGCTGATGGCGATAGCACTTGAATATGAGAAAGTATTGTAAAGACTGTCCTAAAATATTTTTCGTTCGCCATATTTGTGTGCGTTATTTGTCGTGATTATAATCTGGTTCGATATGTTTCCTTGTCGTTCTGTCGCCGATGTGGTCTATAATAATAGAATGGTTCTACTACTTGTATGGTACTCTATATTCGTTTCGTCTTCCAGTGGTTAGTATAGCGTTGCAGACTCTTTCACAAGAGATACGGACGAGTTTTTCGTGGTCGCCTGTTTTCAAAGACTTCCAAAGCTGGTAATCAAAAATGTAGTTTGTGTTTGTCGTTCAACTCGGGATAAACTGTTTTGTTTTCGATTAAGTAAGGATTTCAGCGAAATGGTGGCGATCCATGGAGAAGGAAATGAATCCTCATGATTATGTGCCGGGAAGGTTTTCATTCGAAAACAAAGGAAGTGAGCCATCGTCCAGTACACTTTTCATTGGCTGGCGATCATACCACCTAACTACCTCACCAATGAAGAATTGTGCTCGCTATGTTTTGGTCATCGAGTTACCGTGTTCACGGGGTACGCACAAGTGTTTTAATTTGTTTTGAAAAATTATGTCTAGGCCTAAACAAGCGAGACCATGATTTGGTCGCTAGATTTGAAAGTGTGCCCGCCATGGTTTATGGAGTCACCCTGCCATGGGTAAGCTTTACTTTTTTCAGTTTGATTTAGTCAAAAGAGTTAATTATGGTAATCTTCATCTATGGTTCCATGCATACTGAATTGAAACTTCGCGGGTGATTTCCGTCTTTTACACGGGAATATTCAAGCATAGGTAGTACTCGAAACTCGAGCTATACGGGTGGATAAGCATTGGAGTCGTTTATCCAATTAATCTGGATGGATAAATGCAAGACAATCACAACTTTCTATAACATATTTTCTTGTGATTAGTTTCATAAGAAAGTCTTGATGAAGGCAATAGGCCCCGTTCTATTTATGACAGGCTTCGCATGCTTGTTAAGATTGGTTTGCGTTTTTGCTTTCGTGTCCAAGTTGCAGTTGTAGACATGGTTGAATGATGAGCATTAGGCATGGTAGCATTGGAATGCTGGTGTGATTGATATTCGACA